CTTGTATGCACCCTATTTCCAGAACTTATAATATTGTAGTTTATAGTTTGCGTTAGTGTTTTCAGCGTAGGGCAGGGTTTTGAGCGTGCACCAGCGCTTTGCGTGTGCGCTAGGATTTCCAGCGTTGAAAAAGTATTGATCCAGCGTTTTGAGTGTGCCTTGGCACACGCTGGAGTACGGTAAAAACGCCGACGGAACTATGAACGCACTCTCAGTGCGAGTACTTTGTCTACTCACCAAGAAGGAGCAGAGTACTACGCCCCCATTTGTGCATGTGTTTCAAGGAATTCAGAGCACATATCACAACTCTCACCTTCTCCAACTCCGCGATCCTGTTCTCTTGAAGCCTGCATCGTCTTCTGAGCTCTTCAATCTCCTTTGCCATTTTTGTATCTTCTATTGTTCTCAACTGAAAATTCGGATCTGTCGTACTGTAGTAGAGCTGCAGCTACAAATTAAAAGGAACGAAGGGTGGCCATCCAAGAAAAGCTCTTTCTGGGATATTCAGGGAACAAGGCCCAGATCAATTTATTAAAGATAAACTGAACGTTCACCTCCGAGGACGGTCCTTTCCATGTGCTAGGAGACTGGGCCCGCAGCTGCAGCAGCGTGCCACTATGGTTAGTTCAGAAGTGCACGGGAGTGGGCAAGAGAATAGTGGCACCCGGGAGCTTAGTGGCACCCGGGAGCTATCTCCACACTTCACCTGCGCCATCAACGTGCAGCACTTGCTGAGTTGATACCGAGGTCCGCAGCAAGATTGTGGACAATCTGGCAGTCCATGATGCTATCCATCACTACCCTCCAGTTCCGTTCCATGCACTTTTGAGTGGAGAATGTGGCACACTATTGCAGCTGTGGGCCCTCTTACCTCACACGTGACAAGGGACAGTCCACGGAAGTGAGCAAAGTTTTCCAAAAGGCCGAGCTGAAGCTGAACTCAGAGGACTCCTTGTGCAAAACTGAGGGTAGTCTAATAAGGGGATAAGCTGTGCTCGAAATCAGTTCACCTAACCGCTACCTCTTTCTCCCTTCTTAAGGCTCAGGCAAAAGTCTTCGTCTCGCCCAATCACCCAAATTTTGCACATGAAGTCTT